TTCCTGCCTATGCAGGGGGTCGGACTCAATGATCTATTGAGGTCCCTTCCAACCCTAACATCTATGAATCTATGAAAGGAGAAAAAACACCGCCAAAGAAATGAAACATAGGCAGACATATCTGTAACAGGCATGCAATTAAATATCTAGACAGATACACAAACGTGGCAGACTGCATTAATTCTGGTGTAACTTCTACTGCCTTTAACAGAACCTCACTAGAGTTGAATCCGACCTTTTTTCACAGCTTTCTGATTGTTGATACTTTAGAGTGGAATGTGACCATAGGTGCCATTTGGAATGGGGCTTTGAGGGACAGACGGATTGTGAGTAACAACATCCCTGTGACTATGGCATGAGTGGCTTTTTTCCCTCACTGAAAATTCACTGTACACACAGAGAGAGATTAAATTACAGGCTGGTGAGAGAAGCAAATGGTATTTTTGCGAGTTTGAGTCACCCTCTCAGATTAGACAATCTTCTTACTGCAATATACTTTCATCACAAAAATGTTCATTATGTGGCATTCACAGATAAAAGACTTTCACTTTAAATATACTCTAAATGATTTTATAGTATCATGTTTTCACCGAAACCTCCTCTTTAAGGTGCATTCTGCTCTAATGCAGATAATGCACATCTCTGGAGAGAACCCTCCACTTTTTTCATTTGATAGTAAGAATTTGTCTTACAATGAAACACTCAAAGCCAATTAACCTCTGGAGGTTTACTTGCTGTTTTTTATTTTAAAAAAATACTTGTAGGTGTCATGGGCAGAGCAGCAATATGAAAAAAAGCGAACTAAGCGTGCAGCCCTGAGAGACTCTGCAGAAAATCTTTTCAATGATCCTATGTGGAATCAGCAGTGGTACCTGGTAAGAGTTTATTTTTATGTAATAATGGTGGGTGAGGAATGTGAGTTTTACTGATCAGCTGTGTTATTTCACTGATGTCTGAGAGGTTGCACAGGAGGGAGCAGGTTGCAGCCACTTTCATTAGTGTAGCCTATGGAAACTACAGACCTCAGCACTTGATATCCCTGAGCAACATTCTGTATTTTTTAACCACAATGCATGCAAAGGCTATGAAAGCCAGTTTGAATTTCTGATGATTGAAATTATGGGAACATTGCAAGGCTTTTAAACAGTTAAGAGCCATGTTAACAATAACATAAGCATTTTCCTCTTTACATATAACATCAACATCTCCAGTTGTACCCTGTGACCAGAGGCATATTTCTTTGTCGAAATACTGCATATTCCAGCAGAGAATAAAGCTTTATCTGTGTAAGGTGTTGAGCTCCTTCAGCTTCTGCTGACACTGATTGGAGTTGAAGATGCTGTTTCTTTTTCTCATCTGGTCAAATCCTTCAGGAGACTGCATGCTTTCTACAAGCTTCTTGTGATACTGAGCTAAATTCACCTGAATGCACAATGTATCTACTCATGCCTGTCTCTTTAGGCAGTATTGTATACACCCAGAGGAGGGGATAGCCGGAAGAGTGGATTCTCAGGCAACAGATATCTCCAAATACTAACATGGCCTAAATGGTCTGAGGACTTGCATTTGTCCACATTGCAGGTCAGAGAGTAACCTGCACTCTGACCTGCAGAATCTCTTTGGCCCTTTCCTTCTCTTGTTCAAGTGCGGAGATTTTAATTTTAAATTATACTAGGAAAATTATTCCAGTAGAGTTTCCTAAAAACTCTCATCTAATAAGGCAATGGAAAATATTCAGAATCTTAAATTTCTAGGAAGCTAGATCCTAGACATTACTCTGTGTACTTTCTAGACTAATTTCCAGTGGGAGTACACACACACTTGGCCACAAATGCATGCAAGTGCACATGTGGGTGCACACACCCACATCCATGTATAGAAAGACAATTTTTCTTATGGAAAATGCAATGGACTGCAGTCCAGGAAACCTAGTTTGCTTTCCAAGCTCAGGCACTAATTCTTTGCTGAGAAAGTCATTTCAGGTCTTTGCACTTCATTTTCTCTATATGTAAAATATAGAACATGATATTTCCACTATTTTACAAAGCATTTTGAAATCCTCAGATTAAAAGAACTCTTTAAATAAGAAGAATTTTCTGCCAAAATACTTCCAGGTTCTTCTAACGTAGCAATTGTTTACTGCTTTGATGACAAAATAGAGCCCCCTTGCACTCTTGCCTCAAGTTATACTCGAGCATCATTGGAACAACAGTTATTTGATGAGTGCTATAGAAGATATCTGTGACCTAATAGTAATTCTCTGAACTGCAGCAATCAGAAAATAAGGCTTTAAAATACCAGCTATCTTGCTCCCATAATATACTGCATTGCCTGAGTCTTACATTCTGTTCAGTATTCTTTTGGATGCAAAGGTGTTAAAAAATGACAATACATTAAGATGCTGAGAGATGCAAAGAAAACATTGACTATATCTATGCCTGGGATTTAATGGTAATCTTAATAAAGTTTTTATATATTAAAAATATAAAGACTTACCATTTCAAGAAAAATGATCCATTTCAGATTTAATTTTCAAAGACCAGTCTTTGAAAGAGATGAGGAAATAAGTCACATTTCCAAGTGATTTTTTTCAGTGGAACAATAGTGAAAGTAATAAACAGCACATTGTGATTCAGTACAGTCCTTCATATCTAGTCTACTACTAAATTGCTTTAGCTATTAATTGTTTTCCAATAGCTAATCTGGACATAAAAGGAAGAGGCACCATTGGAAAAAACATAGCATTGGAATCCTGCATATTCCAGCAGAGAATAAAGCTTCAGTTCAACAAGGTCTTGAGTTCTTTCTATTTCTACTGATTTGGATAAGAATTGAAGATACTCTATTTTGGTTCTAGTGAATGGAAGATGATTTCCAAAACTAGCATATCATACTCCTGCCCAGCCACAGATATACTAAACATAGGATCTTAGGAAAGTAGGGCTGGAAGGGACCCCCACAATGTCACCTAGTTCAGCCCCCTTCTCAAGGCAGGATCATCCCTGAATAACCATCCCAGCCAAGTGTCTGTCTAACCTGCTCTTGAAAATATCCACAGATGGACATTCCACAGTTTCTCTTGGTAGACTGTCCTACAGCTTGACCACCTTCATTGTCAGAAAATTCCTTCTAATCTTCAACCTAAATGTCCTCTGCTGCAGCTTGAGGCTTTTGCTACTAGTCCTGTCCCCTACAGCCACAGAGGAAAGCCCATCTCTATCCTCTATAACCAGGGTTTACAATGTTTTTGGGCAGAGTTCCAAAAAACCCCCACAACCTTGACTTGTAAGATGTTGGCATGCCAGAGGCTGATGGCAGGGGAGCTGTGATGGGCCTGATCCTTGTTGTGGCAGTATAGCCCCAGCCCCTTCTCCACTGTCAACCAGAGTCATGCATGCACCCACCACCAGCAACAAGCTGGGCCAGGGCTCCATGGACCCCAGTGCAGCTGCTTGCAGCCTCCCTGTCACCTACTGCAGTGGCAGGGGGGCTGCCCAGAGCCTGGGCTGGCTGGGACATGCTGAGTAAAATGTTTCCCATGCCACGTTCTGGCATGCATGCCGAGGGATTGCCTCCCCTGATCTATAATTGCTCTTCAGATATTTAAAGACAGTTATCAAATTCCTCCCCACCCCCTCAGTCTTCTCTTCTCAAGCCTGAAAAACCCTAGTTCTTTTAGCCTTTCCTCATAAATAATGCTTCCCAGGTCCTTAATCATTTTTGTTGCTCTGCTGTAGACTCTTGCCAATCTGACCATTTTCTTCTTGAAGTATGGGGCCCAAAACTGGATGCAGTACTCCTTGTAAGGCCTCATCAGTTCCAAAAATAATGGAAGAATCGCTTCTCTTGATTTGCAAGTAACACTTACATTGATACAACCCAGTATGCTGTTGGCTTTTTTTTAGCAACAAGAGCACGCTGTTGGTTCATGTTCAGCTTATGGTCTACTCTCTGCCACCATACTCCAGGACCTGCAGCCTACCCAGTCATTCCCCAGTCCGTATTTGTGCACGCAATTATTCCATCCCAAATACAGGACTTTATACTTGTCCTTGCTGAATCTCATATGATTGATTGTGGACCATTTCTCTAGTCTATCCAGGTCATTTGTGATCCTAGCCTGCTTGCAAGAGTGTCTGAAATGCCACTCAACTTGGTGTCATCTGCAAATTTGCTAAGCATGCACTCAATCCCATCATCCAAATTATTAATGACGATGTTAAACAGTACCAGACTCAGGTGAGATCCCTGCAGAACCCCACTTGATACCTCCTCCCAGCTGGACAATGAGCCATTGATGAATACCTGTTGAACATGATGATCCAATCTGTTTTGTATTCACCTAACAGTACTTTTGTCCTTTGCGTATTAATAGGAATGTCATGGGAGACAGTGCCAGAAGACTTGCTAAAATCAAAGTATATCACATCCACTGCTCCCCCCTCCCCCCTTTCACAAAGCCTCTAACCTTATCATGGCCACAAATCAGTTTGGTCAGGCATGACTTGCTCTTGATGAATGTTGGCTGTTTGTGATCATCTTCTTCTCTAAGTGCTTCACAACAGATTTCTTGAGGACCTGCACCATGATCTTTCCAGGTATTGAGGTCAGACTGACTGGTCTGTCATTTCCTGGAACCTCCTCATTCCCTTTCTTAAATATTGGCACTATATTTGTCCTTTTCCAATTATATGGGACCTCATCTAACCTTGAAGAGGATAGCTAATGGCTCTGAAATTACCTCATCCCATTTCTTCAGTGCCCTAGGGTGCAACCAGTCCAGTCTTGCTAAAATACACTCTTCTTACCTGAGATATCTTGAGGAAGAATAATAAATCTTCTTGAGGATGAAACAAGGAGGCTGGCTATGGAAAATAGGTTGTTTGAACAAGTCCATCCTTGTGAAAAACCTGGGTAAAAATCTGTGAATTCAGGACAAAGACAAAACAATGTTGATTTAAAGCTTCTTAGCAATTTGGCCTGGAAACTTTGGACATCTCTTGTATGAATTTATGCTTATTATCATTTTTTTTTTTGTAGCAAGATACAAGGATTACTCCCTCTCTGCCTAAGCTAGATCTCCATGTTATACCTGTATGGCAAAAAGGGATTACAGGCAAAGGTGTTGTTATAACTGTCCTGGATGATGGCTTGGAGTGGAATCACACTGACATCTATGCTAACTATGTAAGTTTGTTCATTAGAATGCTGCAAAGTCAGCAAATTACTTGCAGACCTTTATATAAAAACATTCTAGTCTGGTTTGCTCCATGGTCAGAAAGGCTGCTCCCACATGACAGAGCCTGAAATACTTGCCTCAAGCATAATTCAGAGCCTGGGTTGTCTCACTGGGAGTTGAATAATAGTGAGCTATTCAGTGTGTATTAGTACCTAGGCATATTTAGACACAATAGTTTAATGCTGGACTATTAAAAACCTTTTAGCTATTTGTGAATTTTATATCTGTTAATAGGTATTAGATTTTAATAAGTTAGTTGTTACCTCACACAAAAACACGTATAAATAAATAGATGCAGATAAGAAATCCATTTCAAGACACATTTGAAAAAAAAAAACAGTCTGTGCCCCAGAAAATTAAAACAGCAAAGAAATATATTAAAAGCTGTGATGGAAAATCATTTGAAGACAGGTTGGGAACGTGGAAGCTCCTGAGGTCCGTTATAGTCATAGTACTGACTACCATTTTGTATTCTTGTGCAAGCCATTTAATCTGTCTCAGTCTTCCCATCTGTAAAATGGAGATAATTTGTTTACTGTTCAGTGGTGTTATTAGCTGAGCTGTCTAAAAATTGGTTACATAAAAAAATCAATTTTCAAACACTTTTAAGATGTACCTTTCTTATGCCATGATTTTTTAAACAAAATAATATATTGGATTCAGAAATATATTATTGAAATGGCTATCATTCTTATTTCACCAAAAAGCATATTTTAGACAAAATAAACCACAATGCTTCATGTAAAAAACTTGGTTGAAAAGAGCTTTTCCACTTTTCAATGGAAAAACCTTTTAGTGATAAACATTCTGCCTAGCTTTAATTTTGCAGAATCAGTGAATTTTTGTTAAATTACCTGATAATCCCGTGCCCTTCAGCCAAATATCCCAACTCCTCCATTCCTTACCCTCAGCAGGCATCCCAGTACAAACCTTCCAACAGCCAAAGCTGCCAAAGGTTTAGTAGTTTCAAAATAACAGTTTCCAAGTACAGAGTAATCAATACCTAATCTAGAATATTAAATAAAGACTAAGCATCACATTATACATTTGTTTTAGAGGATCTTTTTTTCTTTTGGTAACTACAATATCTGTTTTTTAAATTTAGGATCCACAGGCAAGTTACGATTTCAATGACAATGATCATGATCCCTTTCCTAGATATGATCCAACAAATGAAAACAAGTAAGTAGTCTTTCATGTTATGGAAAGAAAAAGCAGTAAAATAGTATTCTTTGCTTTAGAACAGAAAAAGGCAGAGCTTTTCGCCATTTACCCTGAAAAGGCTCTGTGCCCAATAGGATTACTGTATGTGCTAAAGGGAAAAATGATACTATGTTGATGTAAATTCTATATTGAAATTGATTAAATTTCCAGATAAGTATGAGCTTTTTTCGTTTAATTATTACATTTGATAAATCACAACGCAGTATGTATAGGGGTTGTTGGTTGTACCCATGTTGGTCTAAGGACATAGGCAGACAAGTTTCTTTGGGTAAATGTGACACCTTTTATTAGACCAACTAAATAGTTGGAAAAATTATTCTTTGCAAGCTTTTGAGTGCAAACAACCTTCTTCAGGTATAGGGAGAGTCACCCCTATGTCTGGAGAAGGGTGTTTGTGCCTGAAAGCTTGCAAAGAACAATTTTCCAACTTTTTAGTTGGTCTAATAAAAGTTACCATTATGTAAGAATTATTACATTCTGAAACCTTCTTCTTCCTATATTCGTGTGTGTAAAATACGAATAGCACCTCTGCAGGCTTCAAAGGAAAAAAAACCCTTTGTGTAAGTGCTCCTGTATTATAGGGCACACCATCTGACTAAGTACCTCATGGCTGCAGTTAGGCTTTTAATCCTGGTTAAGCATTAGGGACAATGAAAAGCCACCTATTGGCAGTAAAGTTTGGTGTCGGAGGAATATGTCCACTGAATATTCTATTACAGGGATCCAGCAGGCTCCTTCCCTACTTGTGCGCAGTTTCTTCAGGGGCATTTTACAGCATTTTGTGGCAAGAAACAAGTGAGGAGCTTTGTCTTATGACCTCTTCTTTGGTCATACAACACCATGGGGGTTCTACTGAAGTTAGGTTCTTTCACGTTGGGTTTTGTCCACAGAGAAGAGAATCCCATGCTACAGTCCTCTAACAGCTGTAGCACAGAATGAGTCGATTCCCTCAACCAATTAAAATGCCACTGTTAAAAAAGATACAAGGAGGAACTGACACTCTGGTTCCCTTTTGTCTATTAGGCACTATCCAAATCATGAATCAATAGTTGCAATGGAAATAAAGTCATCACTCAAAGGATAGATGTCCCATGATTTTTAAAAAATGGATATCTCTACTCTATTACAGCATTTAGCTATCAGTGGGTGGCCACTGTTCTCTGATACTAATGGCATTATCTCTGAAATCTACCTTCATTATCTCCAATCTTTAGTAATATATACATGGAATTCAGCCCACACACATCCAAACATGATACTGTGTACCAAGCAGTAGTACTAAATAAAGTAAAATCTCTTACAAGTAAGTTGTTCTTATCTATTGAGGGGTAGGATTCTTTTGTGACAAAAGAATCTGAATACAAAATATCTCATTCAAGGAATAATTTAGCCTTGTTGATGGTATTTGATTATTTTAAATGCTACCTAGTTTAGTATCAAAATAAATTCAAGCATTTTTAAAAGAATATCCAAATATTTGCTTAAAACTTTTTTTTTTAGTTATTTTTAAGGACTGAGTATTATCTTAGTTTTCCAAATTTTCCTTGCTCTTGTAATCTGCTTTAGCCACCATGTTATACCTCATGGTGGACAATTAACAACAGTTAGGGCCTGGTCAAAGCTACTGAAGCTACTGGGAATCTAAGGACATCACAGAAGTTTGGAGCAGGCCCATATTGTCTCTGCCTAACAATCCACTGAAAATTGACTGGTTAAAATGATCAAAATCAGAGGATAAATATGCCATTTTTTTTCAAATAGACCTATTCCAAGGCTATTTAATATTCAACAAGCTGTCTTACATCTAGGTGGAGAAAAGCCTCTACCAAGTCAACCATACAAGTAGTGAAACTGTAGCATAAGCACATGAATTTAGTTACAGTTCAATTTTAAAGCCTTTTAAAAAGTTTATTTCATTCAGGCATGGGACACGATGTGCAGGAGAAATTGCCATGCAAGCCAATAACAAGAAGTGTGGAGTTGGAGTAGCATATAATTCCAAAGTGGGAGGTAAGAAAACAAGCAGTACTTTGCCATCAACTTTACTATTTCTCATGTGAATGAAAACAAAGTGAAAAAGGGAACTGGCCATCCCAAGGTACCAAGTGCCCTACTGGACATTCTCAGCCATCATCCATTTGTGTTAAAAACTCTCAGCATTTCTCAGGAGTTACTCAGCACTCCACAGCACTGGAATTTTTGAGTGTGTGGTGAAATAGTGTAAACAGTTACCTCTATCTCAAATCTTAAGCATCCATCAATTTCTCAGGGTTCAATCTATAAATTGACTGTTCATTCTAACCAAATCTAGAAGCCTATTTATAAATAAAGAAATGGTTGGTTGTTACCTTACCTATTCGGCACAAAATTAAATGAAGAGTAAAAGGAAGAAAAACCAATTTCCTGTCTTTTCTTGTTTAGAGTGTCTATTCAGTTAAATTGAAAGGTCACGGCAGTAGAGAAATTCACATTTCTGTGATTTTGATTTCAATTGCTTGTTTCTCCATGTCAATTATATGTTAATTTTGAAAAGAAGTAGAGGCTTGTTTATCCATCAATCAATATTGCCCTTTTTTAAAAAAATGACTGGAAGTCTAGTCTATTATAGGTTTGTGAAATAGACATGATCAAAATATCAGTTGCAAGTGGTTATTTAGCACAAAAGGAGATAGACTTGTAGATTTGTAGTTTTTCAATTTCACATTTTTTCTTGCTCTTTTATGAAATGGGACAGCTCAGATGAGATTGACAGCTGAGATTACTATTCTTGCCACTTCAGTCTGGTGTTTATGAGCTCCTATTTTCTCTTCTGGATTTTGAACTGTCACAAATGTCACTTTTCAGTCCACCTTTGCCCTTCTGCATTATACTTTTATAGCCTGCTTAAATAAAATACCCCACTCATTAGATGAAGATGCCAGATTTTAAGAGCAGGGTGGAATAGCAGAAATTTAAAAAATATACCCGCTGTACTGCCCACTTATCTGTATGAACAATTGCCTAATTTGTAAATGCAGATATATCTCTGCTGCTTCCTGTGTCCAGGAAAGGGAAGTAATGGAGAAAAGACAATGAAAAATTATTGAAAAACTATCCAGAAAGGTGATTATCTTTCAAAAAAAAAAAGAGGAAGAAAATTCAGGGAGGCATAAAGTTGAAGGGAACTGGAAGCAAAATCTGGCCAAATCCCCAGGGATAAGGATGTGACAAGAATCACACTTGAAGGAAGATTTACCGTACACCATAAACACCTAAACCTAGGAAGGTTATTTTCCGGCTTTTCTTTGTAGAGAATTCTATATCTATGACTGCTAGTATAAGGTGTATGAAACAATAACAGCTCCAAATACTTCAGGATTAATATTTCAAGCTGTTATTTGAACCTAGGAATTATCATACCAGAAAAAGTCTAGTGGTCCATCAAGTCCAGTATTGTGTCTGACAGAGTCTGTACCAGCTGCCCAAGATGAAGTAACCCTGAAGCAAGCTATTTTGGAATAACATATTCTCAGGGTATGCCCTGAGGTTTTATATTCCTTCCAAAAACTCTTGTTCCTTTACCATTATAACTATAAATACTCTCATTATATATCTAAATTCTCAGTCTTTTAATGCCTGCTAATTTTTGGTCCTATTCATATCTTGTGTCCTTAAGTCCTGCGGGTTTATCATGCATCATGTGGGAAGAAAAACTCATCCTTATTTCATCTTTAAATGTGTTGCCTTTCAGTTTAATGTACTGTCCACTTGTACATAGTCTTTATAATGTTGTATCATAGAAAAATGTGCTTTATGCAATGTTTTATTTATTAGATCTATATCCTGCCCTGTCCAAAAGGCTCAGAGCAGCTATTGTTATATGTCATCCAATAAATGGAACATGTTTATTCACACATGCCCAACCACAGCACTGAGCTATTTTCCTGATGCTGCCATGGAAATCAAATGATGAAGAAGCTGCATTTTATGAAGGACTGGGTTGAGAGTTCTAGCACTGTGCATGTGCTACTAAAAATAGCCTTCGGCTAGGCAGATACATGTATCTGCCTGAAAATTCCTTTTGCTTTTGCTTGCTTTTGAATTCATGAGGCTGAGGATAGGAAATAAACAGACAAAAAGGAAAAGTATGTATAAATAATAGGACACTACCCAAAAACTAATTGAAAAAATATCCATTGCAGTAATTGCATTCCTGAGTTTACTTAAATGATACAGGTTTTTGCAGAGTAGAACTGAAACAGCAGTCTTGCTTGAATTGCTTTTCATGGGTGTTCTGAGAATAATATTGTTTTTTCTAATATTATATTAAAATATGCTTGGCTGGCTGTATCACCTTGGCCACATCTTTAGATTATTTATGCTGGCTCCTGAATGCTAAATATTTCGTTACAGACTATTGCTGGTCTTGCAGACAGTTCCACCCAAACAGATTTTTGACCTTTGTACAAAGCCCATCATTGACTTGAGTTCCTTTCAACATTAGTGAAAGGAACCGGCCATGGTGAACTGATTTCAGGAACAGAGTTTAATTTGATGTATGCTAATACATAATAAGCATAATGTATGCATGCTTATACATAATGTATGCTCTCTCATGGTTGCAGCCTAGGCTTCCATGTCAGGATTCCTAAATCTAGTCTCAGTTTTACCATTGATTTGGAGTGACATTGGTTGAGTCATTTTGTGCTTAATTTACTAATAAGTAATAGAGGCAATACCAGGGTGACCATACATCCCATTTTGGCCAGGACAGTCCTGGATTTCCTAGGCTGTCCCAGCATCCTTGCCACTTGGTGAAAATTGAAGCAAAAGGCCCAGATTGGCAGGGATCAGCTGGGGCAAGGCAGGGCGGGAGGAGAGCACTGCTGTGAGTGCGGGCTGCTCACACTGTATATGTGTGTCTGGAGGGGTATGCTGGGTGGTGGGTCAGACTTCTGCCTGAGCAGGGGTCCCTCTCCCACGCCTGCCCACCCAGCTGCCAGTAGGGACCCATGTCTGGGAGGGGCAGCTCCAGGGTCTGTGTTCTGCCCTGGGACTGCAGCCCTGCCCAGGCTGGGCCAATCAGCAGCAGCAGCAGCAGTAGCAGCAACAGGCCACCTGGTTGCAACCACCATTGCACCAGGTGCTTGCATGTGCTGCCTGCGCAGGGGGATGGCAGAGCCATGGGTCTGGCTATGCAGGCTGTTGGGTGCTGTGCACCTGGGTTTGCACAGAGCTCGGTGCCCCCTGAGCACCAGTCTGCACCTCCTTCCAGATGCTGCAGCTGGGAGCCAAGGGGGTGCCAGGTGAGAGGGTACAGACACTGGGCTGGGGGGCTGGGAATCACAGGGGCACAGGGCACAGTCCAGCAGGGAATTAAAATAGCATGGTGCACCAGACAGGTGGGCAGGCAGGCACTGCTGCTGCCTGCCTACCTGGCACACCATGCTCCACCGCCTCTGCCTGCAGCAGTGCTGCTGGCTTGGGAGAGTGGTGGCGAAAGGGAGGGGGGAAGGGAGATGGGGGAGAGCAGTGTCCTATATTTCCTATGGTCACCGTTATAATAGTTAACTTTTTTTGAGGCATCAGGAGTGTTAAAGGCCATCTGCAAAGGGCAGACAATTAACTTCTGTCTTTTTTTCCATTTTAACAATAAAAAAGATCAAGAAATTGAGAGACTCAGATCTTGTTGATCTTATTTGGAAAATAACTATGTGAACATCTACATTAAAAATGATTGACCATTATTCATCCCCTGTCCTCTTATGGAGCAGCTATTATGGTGCTCGGTTGCCAGTGTAGACAGAGCCCAGGCATTTTAATTGTGATGCCAGGAAAACCTGTTTGGAACCTGGACTACACTAATATTTGTATTGTTACTACCACTGGTAGAGCTGCATCATCATTACTGGAATTTTGCAAAAATCCCTACCATTTCTCAGATTGGCAGGGAAGAACATTAGCAGTTTGGGGAGCTGTAGTGCACATGAGCCACTGGCTGCCACTGGAATTTTAAGCATACAGAAATTAGAGTTGCTCTGAACTAGATTAGATTGTGCAGTTCCTATTAAAATGTTAAAGGCTTGCTTTCACTGGGCTTTCAGCATTGCTAGTAGTAGTGCAAACAAGCAATATTAATGACAGTGGGAAAATTGTGCAATACTCCTTGTATTGTGAAGATTGAAGAGCTACTGAAATAACAATACCATACAAGACAAAACAATGAAAATTTAATCTCATCAAGAGGGGATGAGATTTTCTTCAGACTGTTTAAAATTCTTTGTTTAAACACAACTCTCAGAGTTAGTCAAAATTTGTAGAGAACAAAGATTTTTGAAAAGTCTCGTTTTGAAATCATATATTCAGCTTTAATGCTGGACTGACTTTTAGAAGAAAGGAAGCCTATGATAAAGATCTAATGCTGAAAGAGAGATGAAGAATTTCAAATAGATGTGTAAAATGCACCTGCACTGAGAAATTCAGAGATCTGCAAAGAAAACAGTATAGACTAGACTTGATTTTTACTAAAATTTCAAAGATGGAAACCAAGCAACCCGGGGGGGGGGGGGGGGGGGGGGAG